TGAATTAAACCCTTTAAACCTGAATTAAACCCTTTAACCCTGAATTAAACCTTTTAAACCTGAATTAAACCCTTTAAACTTGAATTAAACCCTTTAACCCTGAATTAAACCCTTTAAACCTGAATTAATCCTTTTAAACGTGAATTAAACCCTTTAACCCTGAATTAAACCCTTTAACCCTGAATTAAACCCTTTAAACTTGAATTAAAACTTTTAAACCTGAATTAAACCCTTTAAACCTGAATTAAACACTTTAACCCTGAATTAAACCCTTGAAACCTGAATTAAACGCTTTAAACCTGAATTAAACCCTTTAAACTTGAATTAAACCCTTTAAACCTGAATTAAACCCTTGAAACCTGAATTCAACCCTTTAACCCTGAATTAAACCCTTGAAACCTGAATTAAACCCTTTAAACGTGAATTAAACCCTTTAAAATTGAATTCAACCCTTTAACCCTGAATTAAACCCTTTAAACGTGAATTAAACACTTCAACCCTGAATTAAACCCTTGAAACCTGAATTAAACCCTTTAAACTTGAATTAAACCCTTGAAACCTGAATTAAACACTTTAACCCTGAATTAAACACTTCAACCCTGAATTAAACCCTTTAAACCTGAATTAAACCCTTTAAATCTGAATTAAACACTTCAACCCTGAATTAAACTCTTGAAACCTGAATTAAACACTTTAAACCTGAATTAAACCCTTGAAACCTGAATTAAACCCTTGAAACCTGAATTAAACCTTTTAAACCTGAATTAAACCCTTTAACCCTGAATTAAACACTTCAACCCTGAATTAAACACTTCAACCCTGAATTAAACCCTTTAACCCTGAATTCAACCCTTTAAAGCTGAATTAAACCCTTTAAACTTGAATTCAACCCTTGAAACCTGAATTAAACCCTTGAAACCTGAATTAAACACTTTAAACTTGAATTAAACCCTTGAAACCTGAATTAAACCCTTGAAACCTGAATTCAACCCTTTAACCCTGAATTAAACCCTTTAAAC